TCGCGCGCGCGCGCGCGTTCTCTCTCTCACTCTCTCTCACTCTCTCTCACTCTCTCGCTCTCGCTCTCGCTCTCTCCCGTCTCTCTCTCTCTTTCTTCTTTTCTCGCCCTTCCACACACGGTGACACACCGTTCACCATCCCCACACACTTACTTTCTTTTACTTTCTCTCGCCCTACTTTCCCGCTACGTCCTCACTCATCTTACACTCCCCCTTCTCTGCTGTCGATTCCACAGGGACTTGAGGCGGAAAAAAAAGTGTTATATATATAAATAGAAGAGGAAACGAAAAAGAATTCTATTTATATATATAACACTTTTTTTTCGCCTCAAGTCCCTGTGGCCACTACTAGTCACTATTTCCATTCCTGAGATCATAGATATATGCAAAACACGCTTGTGTTCGCAAATAATTATATCTATCCTGAGATCTACGGCGCTTGTGACGTTTATGAATTATTTGAAAATATTGCCGGCAGGTGGCGTTCATGTTTGTTTTGGTATGGCGTCCGCAAGACCTCTTCCATCGCTGCCTCCAAGAAATCTTCCTCCAATTTTCAAGGAAGATGAGGTTAATCCTTCAAAACCACGTCATGGGAAGGCGAAAAGAAAACCAAAGAAAGCAGCATCGACTACTGAGAAATCTGATGTTGTTAAGACTAATGAAACTAGAGTTGCAGTTCCTGACGTCGATGGCGTCGGTAAAAAGTCTCATAAAAAGAAAAAGCCGACCAGTGACAACACCACTCGCCACCTTCTCACAGACAATCTCAGTCCCGACGAATCGGAAGTTGACAGGCGTGTTCCTGAAAGTGTTTCCACCAAAAAGCCAAAGGCTGGGTCAACAGCTAAGAAACTCATAGCAAAAATGTCAACTGCCCAGGTGAGTTAGTAATAGTAATACTAATAGTAATAGTAATAATAGTTAGTCGGACATGGTATTCCATGAAAAAATGTTCATCATTGCCTAAGTGGGAATGCAGCAAAAAAGACTCTAGCGTTAATTATGATGGTAACCTGAACGAATAATTTTAAAACCCACATTACTAGCAGCAAACTGCTATTAAATGTATTTGTCTTGTACTTTGCAAATTACAGGAAAACACCGCATTTGATAATAAAGCCGATGATGAAAGCGAAGCTCCACAGAGAAAAAAGAAAAAACGGAAAAAAGACAAGTAAAACTTTTTTGAAAATAATGTTTCTAAATTGATGAAATCAGTGCAATTCTCAATGATTCTAGCGTTCACCAACAATTTGCCTCAAACAACATGCATCACCGTTACATCTCACTGTACCGACGATCAATGATTTGCAGGTTAGTAGTAGATACATATGGACAAGATGAGGCCATGGACATCACCGTGCTATCTGATGACGTGGTGACGTCGGAGGATGAGGAAGAGGTTGGAGAGCGCCTAGAGAGAAGCCATGTTGCAGCCGCGCAGCCTAGGCAGCATCTTGGCAAACTGTTCGTCGAAAACGAGAGTGAGCCTCTGAAAAAATTGGCAAACGTGTTGTTTGTTTGTTTTGTGGCGAATTCGGGTTGAATTTGCTGCGGCAAAGGAGAGCGTCTAGATGAATTATTCGCATACGAGTTTGGAAAGAATTATTTATATTGCTCTGAAATCAAACTAGTAGTTAAATACCATACTCATTTAAATAGGGAATGATCTATTCTGAAATCTTAAATAAAAGCTTCGTATTAATGGTATTATGTTCTTGGAAATTATAACTCGCAATGTTTTCAGAGATTAACTAGGCACTGTTTCTCTATTAGCTTTGGTTTATCCACATTACAAGTCTTTTATGTAACAAAATTACACGCAGGAATCATTTCGATACTAAACGATGTGTGCCTGTACTCTGCAGGGGGATTTCAAATGCGCGACTGGACCCAGCATGAGAACCGACCACAGGCGCTAGACCTGGTACCTCTGGGGGTAGACCTGCCATCTAGCACACCACAGGATCTAGCCGTGTACACGCAGAAGGTTTTCCGTACGTTTGCTGTGTTTGCGCATGGCCTACTCGCTGGCTTCGCGCTGTGGCAATGCATCGTCATCTACACGCTCCAGGAACGAAGCAGGTACGCGCGGTGCTTTCTCTGCGAATTGTTTTTTCTTTATCTGGTGAGTGATGGCAGAAGTAGGTGGTGCGCTCCTCGATGGGCTGAGTACACATTACATAGACTAGCGAGCAGGTCAGTTCTTGCTGAAGTCCTTTGTGGTGAAGTACTGAATGGGGATATCGTCTGAGATTGAGATGCTTTTCCCTAGTTAAATAATTGGGTGGAGTAGGAACTTGGTAGTGGGTGTGAGTAAAATATAATAGAACCATAAATATAATCCCGATTCATAACCATAATTCCTAACACTAACCCTACCCCTAAATAATCGCAATCTATAAGTGGTGTTACCAGCTTTCCACTCCACTTGAACGATGCTTCCATTGTGTGACACTGATAAATCTGTCTTCTTCGTAACAGTTCGTATGAGGACTTTGTGGATCACTACTGCAACGTGGCACTGCCGACAAACAGCCTTTACTATGTGCTGCTCATCGTGTCCACCGTCTCAGTGTTCGACAGGTCAGTGAGAGGCTGAGGCGCACGGCCGTGTGTCGGCCGAGCATTCTGCTGGACGTTTCTGTTAGCCTCACTCCTCCTACACACTGGTTATCATTGAGAAACTCGTAGCAGTAGCTAGAATAGGATCAACGAACCAAAAATCCGATTTATTCGATAGACTACTTTCTGGAAAAAATCATAAAATTTTATTTAAAACATACTAATTTCTTTTGTCGTGCGACAAGCTGTTTGTTATCATTAGATAGTCTTTTAATGGTACTCTATCCCAGCCGTAGAATTCGAATACGTCGAGCAGAAACTGGCCGAGCTTTCTGAACGGGCCTAGGGTTCTCGTCATGGTGCTGTACATGACTTTGTCGCCAAATTCCGGGTCGGCCGCCACCCAGGATACGAGGGGAATGTTCCAGAATGCAGCTAGCTGGGCCACAGGCTTAGCAGCTGCAATAAAGGACGAGTATTATCGTATCGACGTCAAGAAATAGACCTAGCAATTTGGGGTTTAATGGGTAGAAATGATTGTATGGTTAATCTACTGCTTATAGGGATAAAGACGCGGTCAAATATGAGTACCGACAGCACTTCGCATTACCGCGTACTTACCCAACGAGCAAGGTGGACCAATCACTACATCAACTTTATCCTCGAAATACATCTTCACCATACTGCCGGCTGCTTGCCGGGCGTCGCAGTTCGAATCCCGTGTTATAACGCTAAAGGAATAGTCGGAGAGAGATCGAGACATGGTTGCCTAGGCTGTGGTATTGTATATATTTGTATATGTGTCAAGTAATAAAGTCAGAGTTCAATAACTAATCTGCGACTACGACTCTTCGCTACATCTCATCTACTTTGCTACAATCTGCTACTTGCTACATCGCTAATACGATGCTACATTCTACGAGAAACTTCTGGAGATCATCAGCTTTTCGCACTACAACACACACAGGTAAATGGTAGATATATACGCAAGGGTTAAATGGTAAACGTTAATCTTCATCAGTGAACGGAAAGATGGCTACAATATATACGAGCAGATCGTAAAGGCACAACTAAAGCTAAAAGAGCAAACTAACGCACGAGGTAAACTGCAATGTTTATATAGGTAAACAATACGTTTTATACTCTGATTCACACAGGTTCGCTTGGGGGATGCTCACCTAATTCTGAACTTCTTTCCCAGTGTCGGGTCAGCGTGGATCTTCTCTACAGCGATGGAGACGGCGCTGGCACTGGTCGGGCCTCCGAATTCATCGAAGCTAGTCTGCCACGGTATCAGCAACCCCAGCTTGATGTTGATCACCGCCGTGTCGTTATCGCCAAGCGCCACTCCCCCGCCCGTCTCTATCAACTTGCCGTAGTTTGACTCGACGGTGGCGCTGACGAGTGTGACGATGACGATGAAGAGTAGAGCCAGCAGCATCTCGCTGAGAAGTTTAACTTCCATATACTCACCGATACGTGCAATCGGGGATGCAACCTTTGCGTCCGGTATTCTAGCTGTTTGCGTGTGAGGGTAGAAAAAATGACGTTTGCGTTAATAATGGTCGCTCGTATAGAAGAGCGCGAGCTCGAGTTAGATTAATGCGTAAACTCATTTCAATCGCATGCAAGCTTAGTCCGCTCACGCAGAGCTTGGTAGATTTTTGTTAGTATACACGGAATTTGGGAAATTCTGTGAAGCTTACGCTGCGTTCGAACGAACGCGGGGCTGCGCGAATTGCAGTCAAAGTCGTTAGAAATCTTCGGGAAAACTAAATTCGAGAAGATTACCGAGAGCACTGTACGAGAGCCAGAGTCGTTAGAAATCTTCTAACTAGGTGCGGGAGACTACGGAGAGTAATGTACGAGAGTCAGAGTCGTTAGAAATCTTCGGGAAAACTAGATTCGAGAAGATTACCGAGAGCACTGTACGAGAGCCAGAGTCGTTAGAAATCT